TTCACATTTTAATATTTTTAATGATAACATTATTAGGTTTTTAATGTCCCTTACTGCAGAATAAAGATTTCTTATGAAAGTTTTGTTTTGTTTTGTTTTTATCTTTAGCTCCATTCTAAGAAAATGACCAGTTTCAAGTGTCCTCAGTGTAGGACACATACAGGATGTCATGCTGAAATGTAAAGCACTTACAATAGAAGCCACTAGAAACAAATTATTCCAGCCTAATAGATGACATTTATGGCACTTGTTTTCTGTGCTGACTGATATGCTGCTCAGTGCTTTGCTGCCTGCTTTTAAATCAGATGTCCCTCTGAACATAAACACAAGCTACATGTGATGTCTCTGATGTGTATCTGTTTCTACTCGTGCTGATGCTACCGTGACTAAAGCTAGCCAAGCAGCAGTAAATATGTGAAGCAAGGCAGAAGGATTTACTCCTCAAATAAACAGGATCATAAGAATATAAGACCACGAGCACCACAAATGTAACAGAAATATGTTGACATAAAATGGCATGTTATTTGAAATCTACATGAAACAATGACACAACTACTTTTTTTCAATTTTTCTAATTTATTTATTTATTTTTTAACAATTGTCCAAATTAGTCTGTGATTGGCCTTAGTGTGACAGAAATCATATTTATATACAACTAAATATGACTCAGCAAACATGTTTTAAATGGATGCTTCCTCACTTGATGACGGATGATCCATTTCCATATTTGCTGAGTCTTAAATTTGATGTCAGTGAACTTATCAGTGGTTGGTGTTCAAAAAAGCCCCCAAATCCCCTATGAGCAAGCACTTGGCGACAGTGGAGAGGAAAAACTCCCTCTTAATGGGGAGAAACCTCTGACAGAACCGGGCTCAGGAAGGGGTGGCCTTCTGTCTCGACCGAGAGGGGTTCAAATGTTCAGACAATTTAGTTGTATATAAATATGATTTTTAGGACTTGATGTTGAGACCAATTAGGTGAAATTGGGGATGCGCACAGTTCCGCTTCTTCTTATTCTTCTTCTTCTTACTTGGCGGAGTCTCTGGCAGGCTCTTAACTTCAGCCTCGAGTTCAGCCACCTTGACATTGAGCATTTTCTGTTTGTCTTGTAGACTTTGCAAAGATTCCTGTACAGAGAATGCAGCTGACTCTTCTTTTTCTGTCTTCTGTTGTTCTGTGGTGTCTTTTTCTTTCTGAGGCTCCTGCAGAGACCTTGCAGTGGATGGCAGTGAGTCCTCTTTTTCCATCTTCTCCTGTTCTCCAGTCTCGTTTTCTTTCAGAGGCTCACATTTGAGCATTTCATTTGCAGCAGTGGAATTTTGTTCTTTGTGCTGCTGTGGGATTTTAAGTGAGGAAGCTTTGGCCTCTTTCAGCTCTCGCTCAAGAGACTCTACCTTCAAATCATGAAGGGCCTTGTTGGGGCAGAGCTGGGATTTCAGGTCACTGATTTCCAGGTTGAGTGTCTCCTGCTCCTGCCTATGTTTAATGGCCTGCTCTTCAAGCTGATTTTGAGCTGCTAGGAGCTGTTTCTGGAGCATCTCAATCTGCTCTTGCTGAATCCTACATTTGAGCTCAAATTCAGCCTCCTTAGAGGACTTCAGTCCTACAGAGTCAGTGTGTGAAGCCTCTGTGGTTGGAGTGGCAGACTCCACACACTGCTCTGTGGTAGGGTGGCTGATTTGGTCCTGCAGGGTAACCATCAGCTCATCCA